CTGACACTGTTTCTGTAGTTCTTGAACAAGGAGTCGTGTAAATTCACAATATCATCAGAAGACGAACAAACACAGTGATGGACTGTTAAAAAGAAAGAAAAAGAAGAAATTTGACCACTTTAAGCTTTACACTCGTATCAGACTAACGATTTATTTTAAGAAATAAGAATTTTGCAAGATTTCTTTCTCTTACTGGTAAAAAGTGAATTGAAGACTAATGTGTATAGTGATTAACTTTCCCCTTGAAGCCATGGGATCGTGATGATACCTTTCATAACGTCGGAAACGGTGACAGGGAGGAAATGAAGTAAAAAAAAAATCAAAGGTTTTCCTTTTGTTGCCCATTGACAGTCATGGCAAATAAAAGAATAAATTGAAAAGAAAGTGAAAATTTAAAAAGTATATATTTATTTCTTATCTCTATGCCACTTCTTTTTTCTAATAACAGGAATAATGATTTCAAAAATCTTTTCTCTGATTGAACAGGTCTTCCAGACATATTTTGAAAAAAAAATTTTTTTTGTCATATTCATGATTATGGGTCAGTAAAAATGAAAAGAGATACCTAATTTTCAGTTATGCCACACCTGTACTTTTTTCACAATGAAATGGCAAAAGATGAAAAAAAGTATCAAGACAATAAAAGAAAATGAATAATACGTAGATTATTAGAATTTTAAATAAATAAACTAAATATTAAAACTTTGATGCAAAGTACATATATATGAAAATTAACTTTTAAGTTTCTTCTGATATCCAAAGATGCGTACTAGTATATTAACGATAGTTGATAGATTCAAGGTCCTTCCACCCCCATAATTATAATAATTCAAAGTACAAATATTGAATTTATTTTCATTTTAAATAGTTTAAATTGACAAATTAAAACAAAAAACGTAAAGGTCGTCATATTACTTAAGATGGGAGATGTAATAAACAGAAGTATATGTCAACATAAAATCAAACATTTTTTGTAAAGTTTTATAAAAATAATGTAAAAACTATTTGAAATTCCTAATTCCTAATTCCGATGCTGAAAGTTCCAAAATACTTGCTACTTATAAGCTACTTTTGAATTGTAAATATCAAGGAAACTATTTTACATTAGAAGTACAATAAAGAAGATTTATTACCATTGTCAACATTTTTAAAACTTGAATAATTGATAAATTAAAGAAAATACTAGTATTTATATTTTAAGATGTTGCTTCTACTTAACAATACTTATCATTATACCTATTGAAAAGCATTCTTACAAAAGATAATGTTCTATGAATTAGGTATGAATCTAATGGCATCACAGGGGGATGAAAATACCTTTAAAATATTAATATTGTATATACCGGTATCTTTGTTTTGAGATAATGATTATAATTAAATTTTGTTGCGGTTATAAATTTAAACATTTGTAGAGAAAAATGACAAGAAAACTTTCAAAACTTAATTGGAAAGCTTTGTAATTTAGTGTTCTTTCTTAAAAACTATTGCTGCTTTCGCAGTTGTTCGTGGCATGTCTGAAAATTGGTACTGTGTCAGAATAAGTTGCCAGCCCCAAGAATCTGTGTCTAGTATACCAGTATATATTCTCTAAATGCATACTGCACTTTAATTAAAAAAAAAAAGTTTTGTATCTTAAAAATAATTTCTATGTAAAAAAAACTTACCGCCATAAAAAATCGAGAAACTGACAATAAGATTCCGTAGGTTGTTAATCCTAACTGTGGAGACGACCATCCTTAATCATAACACGTACATATCCAAAGAACTTTGGCCAATTTGGTAGAATCGTTATCCATACCGATCAATAGCACGAAGAAATCTTTTCCGTCACGAGTAAATGCAAGAAAGGCGCCAATTAAGGAGATTTTTTTTTAAATAAAAAAAGTATTCTAAAAAATAAGAATTTTTCGCACAGCACACTGCCTACATAGAAAGGGTTGCCTGGCAACAATATTTTAATTGATAAAGCCTTTCAGGTTGTATTAAAACAATTCTTGGGAGAAAAATAGTGTACGTGTTGTCGCTGAACTAAAAGCAAATATATATATTGGTAACAGGCGACTGATCATTATATAGGAGTCCTCTTTAGTGCATCTTGGGATCCACGTGTCAAAGAATGACGCTTTGTTGAAGAACACTTTTCTACGAAGATTTTGTCAACCCCCAAACACGTGACAGTCTCATAGCAACATCTTACTCGATTTTATCCTACAAACCGCTTCATAAAAAGGAAGCTTTATTTCATATGGCTGTTTTCGATAAACTAAATGCAATGTGATTTTAAAAAAAAGATTTTATATGTATTATTTCAACCAACCAAACTGTATATAGAAAGGCAAATTCTTCTTCTTCTTTTTTTAAAATGTTTTTTTTTTGGTTTTTTGTTTTTTGTTTTTCTTTTTTTTTTTTTTTTTTTTTTTTGGTTTTTGTTTTAAGCTCCACTAGTCAAAGACTAAAAGAGCTTAAAAGATAGTAAAATGTCTTTTTGTCTGTAAACATTTTTTCAAAATTGCTACTCCTCCCATTACTCCCTCTAAAGTTTAAGTCTGATTTTAATATAATTAAGTTCAGTAAAGATACAAAATTATATATACACGTATATATACTTATAATATATGCCTTTAATTTATTCAATGTGTTGGTACGGTAACCAAAAATTGAAAATTCAGTAAATTGTTTTCAAAACTCTACTTCTCGTAAAGTTAAAAAGCTAAAATAAACAAGTAGAATACACTGAGAAACACATCTATATATAAATCGATATTTGATTTCGATAACCGGTTTAGCCATGGTATCGATTATAGAAATTTTATTGAATTTCAAAACGCTACCCCTCCTATGGTTTAATTTTGTTTCAGTATAACTAAGTACACGGGTAGTCTACACTAAGATGCAGAATGATGCTTATTGGTATTTTATTTCGATGACAATGGTAACCAATAAAGAAATTTCACTGATTTTCTTTCAATGAAACATATGGAGATTATGAACAGTATGCAAGATCAAAAGTCCATCAAACAATACAAAAAAGGGGTAGAACAAACACAGACCTCCAGATCATCAGAGGTTGGATCAGGTGTCATGGAGGAATGAGCATCCCCTGCGGACAGGTCACACCCGCCGTGTGTTCTTGTCTCGAGAAAATTCGTCGTAAATTCACTGTATATATAATGGACTGACAATTAGTATGAAACTTCAGTCACCATGTGACTCAATGATAAATTGTACCACGTATTTGCTAACAAGGCCAATTTATCGACCATAAAACTTATGAAATGATGACTTAAACGAGACCGCTGATATTCTTGTTTCATCAACTTGTTTGTCAATAATTAACCTCGTTTTAGAAATTGTTAATACTTAGAGCATGTTGTTGCTTGTTGAATCAACTAAGATACTAGTAATATCAACTCTGTATGTAGGTGATGAAGGTATATATCTGCTTAAGTAAGGGAAGTTGACGATTGAAAAGTTAAAATAATCACGTTTACCATAGATTTTTGTTGTGAGAGTACCATTAACGTCTTTTTCAAGTAAAATATCCCAATTTGAAACAGATGTGTCAGACACCGTGGTATCTTTTGTCTCAAACTGACCAGGATATATCACATCGACATAAAAATGGAAATTACCATTGACAATACTTCGTCGAAATATCTTAATATGGAATTGAAGGCCATAGCAAAGTGCATTCTTTTTTTCACGTAAAAGATTTTTTTTACAAATTCTGCATGCTTCAAATGAATTCAAAAATTCATACAAAATTAAGTGTGCTAATAACAGGGCGCAATTGGTACTGATGAAAATTCCATTAAATTGTTGGAACACCTGGTCTCCAAAAAGCATGTAGGTATTGTCAATCAGAAACTAGTATTATTTTAAATCAAGTTTCGAAGTAATTTACAAATGACCAATGACAAGGTAAATAAATTTTCGAGTTCCATTTATATTGAAAAAGCAGTTGTCAATGATATCAAAAAGCCTGGACTTTAAAGTATCTGAGGGAATGGTTGTGTATAAAGTGAAAAAAGTCTTAACTTTTTAAGCTTTTGATTTTGGTAAAATCTTGTGATTTCCCGACCAAATTTTACAAATTGTTCAAAAGTTCGTTGGAATTTTTAAGTATCCACATCTGATTATTACACCTCTTCGTGAATATATTGTTGAAGAGTAAACTTTAAGTTTCTCCTTCACTGCTGTTAATATCTTTGAGAGGAGTAAAGAATGAGGCTTGGTAAAGCATTCACTGGAAACCTCTATGTATCTTTATTTGTTAGGATTTTCATGAAGTTTCGAATTCGTTATATCTAATATACATATGGTATAAATGCAGACTTCTCTAATATCTTTTCAACTTAGCGTTAACTTATAGAGTTATATAGTATATCTATATATCGAAATTTGGTAGAAATATTAAACGATAGATTCAACAACAAATTTACTTTTTGTTTTGAACGCTGGAAACCAATTTCTCTCTATAAAATAGGTCCAGTCCCTCTGAATAACTGTGGTGAAGTGCAATTGAACCCAACAAGCGAATCTTACATCTCAAGGCACTATTTGTCTCTGCAAGGTGAACTTTGTTACACAAATCAGACGCCTACGTTCTATAATAAATGGACAAGTTGTTGTAATTAATTTGTACTTTTATGAAAGAAAATTAATCTGAATTTGCGGGGAATGAAGTAAACCAGAGAACTCTAATGATTGATCAATTTATTATCCTATATACATTTGTAAGTTTATATGGAATATTTAAGCAAATGAATAACCATTAACTAAGTCAACAGAAATTATTTCCAAACAAGAAAAGGTAATTTTGAAGAGAATATCAATTTTATATTGTAGAAATGTTTATATAAAATGTTTACAAATGTACTTAATTTTTCACAATTTCAATCCCTAAGGTGAAACACGGGGTCATAGAGCATGCTCAAGGTAACAGAATTACATTGTTCTCAAAATTTTCCTTTTTACAATGTAGATTACTTTTGATAAAAATGTACAATTTGTTGAACCTTCTTGTATGTTCATCACTGTCATCGATATTGTCTTTTACTTTCCATAACTCTCGCCTGGAAAACTACGTTATCCGGACTGTGAGCGATGTAGGCCCGAGTTCTTGTAAACTAGAATGCTACGCCTCCTCGGATTGTGCGTCCGTTAACTACAAATGGAAGACTTATTTCTGCGAGATAAGTGCCGACGACAGGGCATTGGGTACAGTGCGAACGTCTAAGTCTTATCACTACTCATCCCTTGCCGACATTAAACAAGTAAGTTATTCTTGCACATCAGTATAAATTTTCATTTAGAAATCATTGCTCAATGTGGATTTGTGGATTCCTAGGACAAATGATATGTCAAGAAAGGGAAGGCGGTAAGGCCATGGTAAATTATTTCTATGCTTAACATCCACTAATTCATCTTAAAGTTACCCTTCTATCTGATTAAAAGAAACATCTATAAAACAATTTCAAAAAATATTATAAATACACCTTTGTATTAGCTAATTAATGGGAAAAAGTCATGCATTGTAATTTACTTTTAAATTTTCAGAATTTTTTTTTATTATACACACAATTAACTTGCTCCAAAATAATAGTGCGAAAGTTCGGTCACCTTACATGTAATTTTTGACTGATAGATACCTGTCAATGTATAAAATGTCCAAAATATAAATGTACGATAGACGAAAAAAAATTGATACACTTGTTTTTGTTTTTCAATGGATTTTTATATTTAAAAAATCTGCCGCTTGGGGGCTTTAAACAAGGAATTAGTTTACTGTGGACTTATCAGTTAAGGATCACTATAGTGCTGAATTCTCAACAATCCAAACAGTCTTTATTTTTATAGCTTTCATCAATGATTCATTACATTTGTACATTCTGATAATATAAATCTAAGAACTTTATTAAATTTAAACTAGGAAGACTCTTTAATACAATATTTTTTTATGAAATATAAGGAGATAACAAACGGTATTCAAGCTCAAAAGTCAATTTGATAATACAAAACGGAGCAGACCAAACAAGGATCTTCAAAATATCAGTTGGGATCAGGTGAAGTATGCAGATGATGAAGGTATATTGCTGCATGAGTAAGAGAAGTTGACGATTGAAAAACTTTTTTTATTCTTGGTTGTTTGATTACCATTAACGTATTTTTCAAGTATAATATCCAAATATGAAACAGATGTGTCTCTGACTTTGTGGTATCTTTAATCTAAACCTCACCGGGATATATCGTATCAACATAGGAAATGAAATAACCATTGTTAATTGACAATACGTCGTCGATATATCAAAATATCGAATTGAAGGCCAGAGAAAGTGTGTTCTTCTTTTCACTTATAAGATTCTAGGCAAATTCTGTCTCATATGAATACAAAAATAGATCTGCTAATAACAGGCCTCAATTTGTACCCATGGAATTCCAATAGATTGTTGAAAGACCTAGTCTCACACACAGACATTGTCAATCAAAAACTCAAGAATTTTTTTTATGTCAACATCAAAGTACTTGTAATTGAATGATTTTAAGAAAATAATTTTGCAAATGACCGATGACAAGGTTTTAATTTATTGTAAGGGAATGGTTGTGTATAAAGGTAAACGGTTTTGAATGCATTATGCAATAAATAAATACTGCTGAGGAAATTCGGTATTTATACGCTATTTCGGTGCAGAACTATTATTTATTTTAAATTTTTTTCACAGGAATTTGAGGACCCCTGTGATGGCATAAAATGTGGACCACAGAGTAAATGCGTCCAAACATTTAGTGGAATTCATTGCATTATTTCAGGTATGGTGCATAAAGCTGTAAAAATGGACGTCACATTGCTAGAATAATTCTACATTAATACTACAGAAATAACGATGAAAGAAAAAACTCTTTATCTTGTAAAAATCGCCTTTATCTTGTAAAGATCATAGTAGCAATACTTACCATTAGGCCTAAATATATTTTAATACATATATTTGCAATTAAAAAGACACCTATATTTAAACTTAGAATGTGGGGAACCCTATACCGTGTTCAATTCAAACACGACTTTCCAGTCCAGTAAGCGGGCCTTAGGTACAGTACTTACCTATGAGTGTAACAATGTAACGTGGCCAAGAGGTGATCTTACCTCCACATGTCATCTTAACGGAAGTTGGTCCAATGTCACGGGGCGATGCCAAGACAAGGGTAAAACCATGACCTCCTAAGTATCATTATTTACTTATGTCATTCACAAATGAAACATACATTATTTTAACAAATCTTTATTATAAAGAACCATGATAATCGGATACCAGTGTGTAAATATATCGAATATGTTAGATCGAGTTTATACTACCAATGATAATAAGATATTTTACTTACTCTCAATCACTTTTAGAGAAATTTGTAAAGAAATAAATCTAAACTATAAAGTTTGTTTTTTGTTTGTTGATATGCGGATTAAAGAATTGCACCCATTTAGAAAAAAAAACATAAGTCTCTTACACGGATAATTATGTATAATTGTTTTTCTGCAATGTCGCAATGTTAATTCCTACATTGATTCCAGACGAATGTCCTGATACATTCCATCATAATAAAGAAGACAGACTCTGTATATACTTCTCCAATGAATTAAAGACTTGGGATGATGCTGATAATGTATGCAAAACGTACTCACAACGACTTATTAATATCAACACTCCCGCACAAGTCACTTTGTTAAAGAATTACATAAGAAGTAAGTCAAAGTCAAGTTTGTTGTTACTAAAAAAATTGAAAGCAGATATAGTTCCAGGTTGAATTTTTTATCAGTCTTAAGAGATCCATCATCATGTTGAAAATGTTATCATAAATTTTGCATTAACCTCTCCCTAGTAAAACCACAATGACATTGCTTTGCACACCAATGCAGAGTATCAAATAAATCTGAATACGTGAAATATTGCAATCATTTTAGTGGTGTTGAACCCTATCCATTTTCTCTTTCAGATTTGGTTCTTTGAATATGCATCATATACATTTAAATGTCGAAAAAATGGATTTAGTTTCATCAATTGCTTACAGATGTATTAAGTTGCAGATGTATCAATAAAATTCTGTAAGGGTGATTGATATATAAAAATGCACAGCCTTGATCTACACGTATCCGCCTAAAAATATTGTATCTACGATTCAGGTCTTTTTTAAAATGACAAAACTGTTTTACTTAACAAAATAATTTAAGTTAGTTTTGTTTTGAAGGCTTGGGAGGTGTGGAAGACACTGATGATATTTACATTGGAGGGAGGCTGGAGAGTGGTGTCTATAAATGGGTGGCCACAGACGAGGTCATTGACCCCTCTGTATGGGACGATGGGTATCCGAATTCTATGAAAGTCTGCACACAGTTCCATGACACTCAACACCTCAGAGACAAAGAGTGTACAAAGCTTTACAAGTTTGCCTGTGGGGCATTTTATTAAATATTGATGAAAAAAAGTCGATATATCTGAATTTCGAATAGAAAACCACAGCCAGCGTTTTCTTCTCAAATAAATTTTTAAAAAATGAATTTTGCAACAAAGGAATAAAAAAAACAATCGATTATTAAAGGAGTGTATAAGTACCCTTTGGAATTCTGATGGTTTGTTGGAAGACTTTGTCTCCGAAGACGACGTGAATGTTGTTAATGATGAGCTCCAGCATCCTTAAAATCAACTACTGAGTATTTGAGTGTTGAATTAGATTAATTTTAAGAAAACTCTTTTGATGATGGCCAATTAAAAAATCTGAAAATTCCCGGGTTTCATTTTTACTGAAGAAGCAATTGTTTTTTTTATCAAAAGGTCTAGTTTTCAATCAATCATGAAGGAACTGTTATAAAATTAAAAAAGTGTTTTAAAAAAGTCTTTTTACGTTTTGATGTTATTTTTTAAAAAAATCAAATTTTGATTTCAATTTCTCTGAAATTCTTTGAAATTTTTGGAAGTGTTTCATCACATTGCGTCTAAAGTTTCTCCCCAACAAACATGGAGTAAAAATATGATTTTAAAAGAGCATTTGTTGAAACTGGCAATGCTTCTTTGTTTTTTAAGATTTCAATGAGTTTTAGGAATGCAGATCACGTGAGACAAATAGAACTTTAAATTATACAACACTGAACTTTGATTTTGTTGATTTTCATCATTAAAAACTGAACTGTGAGTATAGTATTTTCAGAGGTTAAAAAAACCCAAGATCTTCTATAATACAGCTTTATGCTGTGTGAGCCTTACAAACAAAAACAGCATTGTTACTAGCTTTGTCTGCTGGAACCATAACATTTTGTTCATGTAGTCTCTTTCTTCGATTTCTCTCGAGATCAATCACCTCCGATTTTTGACGCCAATTTTAATTTCCAGCGTTAAATCATTAGCCTGATGATGTCATAACGACTTCAGTAGCATTGTGACGTCATCAGGATTTCAGCTCATTCTTGCAGTATTATCTAACTCCAAAGAAAATTCAAACCTTAGAAATTATAATATACATCAGTATAATAAAACACTTATCCACTGGTTGTGAGTGGGATAGCTCTTTCATCAAACCCTTGACAATAAATTCGTGATAGTAAATATTGTCCTAAATTAAAAACTACTACTACTACTACTACTACTGTGCCTTACTATTTAATATATAGTAATTTATATCATATACTATATGATAAAGTTTAAAAAATAAAAAGAATTGATGGATTCAAAATTGTAAATAGGTGTACATGTATGTAACTTTTGATTTGTAGTTTAGTTATATAGTGCTAGTTCTTTTGTGTTTTCCCTATTTTTTAATTTTTTTTTCTTTCTTTTTTTTGGTCTCAAAGAAGGAACTGGTCGTCCCAAAATTTTGGGAATTATTTATCGTGCCGTTGTTAATTATTTATTTCAGTGTTTTGAATTTGTAAATGTACACAAAGCCATATCTGAATCAATGTGTAACAAATCTTGTACCGAATGTCCTCAGTTATTATACATAAATATACAGTAACCCTCACCTTTTTTCATAAGGTATCCTTGTTGTGTTTAAATAAAAAGTCGAATAAAAGTGAGTTTTGTTTTGATTTATTTTCATACAAAGTAAAAAATAAAAGCTTAAAGATTAATGTAAAATAAAATGAAGCAAAAACATTCAAAGTTCTTTGAAGTCTAAGAAACAGCATCTTAAAAATTGAGCCAATAAATATCTATTTGAGAATTTGAGTTTCCTGTAATCTAGCCTACAATTCTAAAGCTTATTACATGATATGAAATTGTAACAATGAAACAAACTTTTACACTATGCGTTATAGAAAAAATAAAGTAATAAATAGAACTAAAATACCTTTTAAGTATAAGAACATGCATTATGTGCCTCAAAATGCCATTGGCATTTCCTGAAAATACATGTATATCAGATTTCGTAATTTACCCATTTTTTATATGACTACAGCTGAGCGTTTTAGAAATATAATGGGCTAATAAACGTAAGTTTTTGATAAGGCGACATTTTAATGAGCATTTTTAGTTATCAAGTGCTGCTTCTCAGTCAGTCTATGAAGACTGGACTTACCAGAAGTAACATTGGCAATTGTATTATCACACATTGAGGTAGTTTTACTTTTTCCTATTTAAGGGACTAATCAGGAGCCTTTTTGGCACAATTTTACTTAGTTAACACAGAAATTAACAAAAATCTTATCAACACACTATTTATTTATTTAATTTTTTTCCACTGAAGCACATGTCAAAAGTAATAAACATCTATACACCAAAAAAAAAAAAAGACCACAACATGTTACCATAAAAGAGTTTGTAATAAATTATTCTCCTTTTTAAAGGTAAAAAAAAAAATACATGTAAGAATAACAATGACTTTATACTCCATTAAGATCACAGAGTATAAGTTTAAATATATATATTTTTAAAAGCGCAATGAACACTTAAGGATAAATAACACAAACAAACTTTTTTCAGAAATCAGCATTATTTCTCATAGATTCACATTTAAATTGACAACCTAAATAATGTTTACAAAGTAGAGTGGGAGTATTTTATAAGATTTTGTCATAAAGTTAAAAAATTGTGCAAAATTTTGTATGGAATTATATAGAGTGCAAAATAAAATCTCAAATCTAAGCACCAAGGAAAACCTACGATTTCTTTATATTTCAGGGATTTATTATTTATATCAATACAAATCAAAATCAGTCAAAAAATATATATCAACCCGCACATCCATTTTTTGTTTGTGGTAAGTACCCTTAAGTATGTCAACAATAACGTTATTATCATACATTAATAAACAAGGTAGTCTGTATGCTAAAGCATATTACATAAGCTTGATACCTAAGATAAAATTAAATGAACGCAGCTAATTTGAAATTGTTCAAGCAATAAAATACAAATTGATACAATTTATATTCAAACACTTCATGCACACTCTGCCAACAAACGCTTGACTAGCTTTAACATTCAAGCACCAGAAGTGGGCACCGGCATTCTATTTGGGAAGGTAACATGCCACTATCGTAAAGTTTATAAAAATTCACAGCTTGATGCTTTCATGAAGTTTTGCTTATTAGTAGGCTCTTTTGAACAGCCATTGTTACTTTTTCTGTAATTAAAGAAAACAAACTAAACATTAAAATAAAGACAAAGTAACACTATAGAATGACATTTTATATAGCAATTATTAACATATTATTAAATAATAAAAAAAATCAACGTCAAATAAATTAAAACCTTTATCACCATAATCAATGTATCATTTATTCGTTAATCATAATCCAATATTTTTAATATAAACATTTATTTTCTTTTATATATTATTATATAAAAATATATATATGTCTTTTTATCAACAGTTAAAAAGTAATTTCGGCAGACATTGTAAGCTTTGACAATCAAGAAAAATAAAACTTCTAAGAATGTTTCCAACTCGATAAAAAGGCGAATGAAATCTTATGTTAGATCACTTCCTAGTAACTTTTAGATGACATATATGGAGATAACGAAAAGTATTCAAAATCAAAAGTTCATTCAAACGATGGAAATCAGGAGCAAAGCAAACATGGGCCTCTTAAACAACAGAGCATGGACCAGGTGATATGGAGGAGCAAGTATCACCTGCCGACCACATACACTCGCCGTATGCTCCTCGTCGTAGTCCGGAAAGAACGGCAAATCTGTCTCGACATTTGTGTAAATAATGGTTTATCAATTTGTATGGAAAACTTCAAACATCAGTCAGCATTGACTTACAGATAAATTGTATTTGCTGACAAGGTCATTGTATCGATCCAAAAACTTATGACATAATGACTTTAAACGAGACTGCTCAGATTCTTGTTTTATCAACTTGTTTGCAAATAAATTACCTCGTTTTATAAATTGTTCATACGCAGGACATGCTCTTGGGTATTGAATCAACAAGAAATTTAAACCTTATATGCAGGAGATGAAGGCATATTGCTGCACTGGTAAAAGAAGTTGACACGTTGAAGAGTTACATGTAAAGTCATGAAGTTTATCAGTAAGTTTGGTTGTTGGATTACCAATAATCTACTTTTCAAGAAAAATATCCAAATGTGGAAAAGATGTGTCAGAGTCTTTTGAATTTTCTTAGACTCACTGGGATATATGTTTTTTGACATATGAATGGAAATACACTGCAACTATTGTTGATAATGAAATATGTCAAATTGAATGCTACAACAAGTGTTTTCTTTTAATTTTTGCATGTATAAGATATTTAGTAAATAGTGCTTCATATGAATACAAAAATAGCTTAGAGGTCTTCTAATAAAGAGACATAATTGACAATACACATGCGATTCAACATTTAAAATCATTAATGGATAACATACATATATTTACTATGTCTCAAAATATATAACTATTGCTGCCTTGTCTATGACAAATTTAACTAGAACTGTCCAATAGGGACAAATACCCCCGCTGTGTTTTTTCAGAGTAGGTGCCAATTCACAAATATTTTATGGATCTATTAAGAGGTGTTCACTATTGTCTTAAAACAAATTGGGTGAAAATATAATTGCATGCTCGTTAATTTTTTTCAATTTATGAATCTAAGGTGCAACCAAATAAAACATCAATACTAATACACTGTAACATTTTTTTTAATTTCATTAAAAAAAGAAATTGCAATTATTTGTCATGCTACTCTGAAAAATAATTGTTGAAAAAAGAAATATTATACAGAATCAAATTAATCTTTATAACTTTATATCAAATTCATTTTAAAAATAATAAAGTGCCCAACCACAGCATGATACTCCAGTCAAATATTGTTCATTCAATTAATATAAACAGTTTAGAGTGTGAGGAAATCATGGCAACCTTTAAAAGGATTTCCATAATTTTTCTTATTCCTTTTGATATTTGTTTACACATCTCCTGTGGTGTAAGCATTAATTATAACAAATAATCATCAAATGGTTGCATTATACCTTGACAAATGCTCCTCCCCCACAAACACACACATATGCATATATCTTTCATGTGGGACATGATGCTCTGAAATTTGTTACTTGATATTTTAATTTTTTTTTTAATATATCAATTTAACTAATTAGTATTAAAAACTTAATCAATAACAAATTGATTTTAGAAATAGAAGGCTGGCCATCAAATGACATATGCTATTTAAACTGACCAGCAGTTCCTCTGTCTAATTCCCAAAGGACCTTAATCAGAGATAACAGCTAACAGAAATGATTGAGACAGCTAGCTTTTCTATATTGAACTCATTAATTAATCTTTGACTGGATGCATGTCCACTGATAAATGCCAAGGGATGCAATTTTCTGTTATCAAAATTCTCCTTGACCAGTGCTTGATATAAATTATACCCTTGGGAGAGGTAGATTATCTCTTATAAAATAACATTTGACATGGATTGCTGTAAAGTAAATAATGAAAAAATATTATTTTCTTAATTTAACATTTTTTAAACAGGGATACAGAAACACTCTTACATTTTTGGGATTGTGTAATTCAATAGTAAAAGACATGTTTCTTTTTAAAATTTCACTTAAATTAAAGGTCATGGTGACCTTAAAATAGGTTGTGACAAACCTTCTACCCAAGATGCATAAACTGTCCAAGTTTGATGATTGTCAGTTTAATAGTTTTCTAGTTAAGAGCCAAACAAAACCATAAAATAAAAAAGAAAAAATGCCTGTAAAATGCAGAAAAATTATCCAATCATAATGAAAATATCAGGTGCACAACTTCATATGATGAATAATAAGTGTACAAATTTTCAGACAAATCCATCCCATAGTTTCTGAGAAACGGTCCGGACAAAATCTTGTCTACAGACGGACGGACAGACAGACGGACATGCTGATTCCAATATACCCCCCTAAACTTCGTTTGCGGGGGTATAATAAAAACTTACTGCTTATTCGTTTGTATGCTTCTGGTTTAGACTTCCATGAAACACCGAACCAGTACACGGGAGCCCCTGCTGCTATTATAACTAGGGCCAGTCCAATTCTCTCCGGCTTCTGATAGAGCGCAAATAGTAGCACCAAAAACTGGTACAGTAAGACAAAGATGGCGTTCACTAAAGACGTCTGCAATCAAAAACTCATTATAATTCAGATTATGTGAAAGAAGTAATCGAAATTGCATACTACGAAATTATTTCCTTTTTTTTGAAAGATATGAGAACGAAACATAATATCTGAAAACGTCATCTCTCAATTGACAGTATCCTTGACAATGAACTTTTAAAACCAAGTACTAGTATTTACTCAATGACTATCCCACACCAATATTGTGAAATATGGATGAACGTATAATCTTTTAACCAAAATAGTCTTCCTAACATTAATGAAGATGTCAATGGGAATTAGGAAGTTTATACCTACCTTGTATGGTCTTGGAAGTTTTGGTTGTTTCCAGCGAAGATAAAGCAATGCTGAAACTACAAACAACGTCATCACAGAGGAAAAAGCCTGGATAAATTGCATAAATATTTCAATACCACCTGAGAAGAGCATCACAGCACCCCATGCTGCCTGAAAAGTAACACTTATTATAAGCTTATTCTCCTTATAAATTGTACATTTCCAGCTAAAAAGCAGCTCTATGCAACAGAAGATTAAAATACCGTAAAAATAATACGAAAATTGAAGAATAAAAGCAACTTCAACAGTGGATTTAAAATTAAAGAATACCAAACTTCTTTAGGATGACGGGATTATAGAACCTTGCTTAAAGATACTTTACTCTGAAAGAAAAGCTTCCAAAACACTGAAACAGATTACCTTAAGAAATATAGCTGGCCATGGAGTTAAATATTGCATGTGAAGCATTCCAAATATGGTTGGCATATGGCCATTTCTAGCACCAGCGAAAACGACTCTAGAATGTCCCATTATGGACGCATTTAGGACACCCACTGCGGACATCCCGACCAATATAGACACGATAGGAGAAAGGAACGGAAAGTGGACTTGGGTAAAGGTCTACAATAACAAATAAAAGGGGTGGGAAATCCGACAGAAAGAATACATAGGTTACCAATATTTATTTATTTGAGTTTGTTTTAATTTGAATAAAACAAATTCAAGCTCCGCCTATTAGTATAAATATTAATATTTAATGTTCTTTTCTAATGAAGTATAAGAACTTACGAGTGCCACAGCATTCGATGAAACGAATTGTGTAGGAGTGAGAACAAGAAAATACGAGATGTTTACGAGAACATATTGTACTATGACGATTGTGAAGGAAATGTACACAGCACGTGGAATGTCTCTATAAAATAAAAGAATTGATATACATGTATGTTCAAAAAGAAACATCGACATTATTCTTTTTTATGTAATACGCAAAACCTGAGTATATAATATGACAACCTGAATTTCTCTAATGTTATTGTGTATCAATATAAATTGTCTTCATGCCCAAGCTTTAGAATTTACCTTGATGGTTCTTTAACTTCTTCCATCAAACCACAGACGATTTGCCTTAAAATGTTAAAATTACTCTAAAGAGAACCCATACATTTCAAAATACTTAACATTGCGCTAATTTTTTTTCCATTTCTTTTCTTGTAAATTATATTATCAGGAATAAAAGTTTTTTTTACTGCAAACTCACCAACCCCCATACACAAACAGAGAATAAAATATGCCCAGTGCTATGGAGCCTGGGTCTGTAGAGGTGTTCTCAAAAACGTCTTCAAAGTTGCTCTTCGTTTCATGTCCTAACAAACAGAAAGGAATTGTATATACCTATTTACTGAAACAATAAGTCTGATACCGTTCAAGTTTAAAAATCACCTTTTTAATTAAAGATAGTGTTAGTAAAAAGGAAGGAACAAAAAAAAAGTAATTAAAACCTGTATGAGTTGATAGGAAACTTGAAAGATATCCTGTTTAGATTAAGAGTACAAAAATGTAGTTGTGCAAAGGGAAACGTTTATTGATTTTAGGATCAAAAAGGCAATGTCATTAGTTACATGTTTCACCAGAAAACCTGAAAAGTTTTATCTGTAAGTATATATAGGATACAAGAGAAAAATACATTCTGGTTATGTTGATATAAAGTATATAATGACTGGAAATTATTACCTTTACTATTTAACAGCTGCATTCTAACCATAGAACACACAGTTATGTTAAAACTGTTTCAATATAAGGAAAAAACAATTATCAAGGATTACATATAAATGCTAGTATTTATGTACAGTCCATGGTACTTTGTTGGGGTTTTCTGTACATGTACATTTCTAGTTTTATCCAAAGATTGTTTACCTTGTTCACTCAAAGTCTGTTACTTTTTGTGGTTTTAAAATACAGTAAAAATAGAATCTTGGTATAAATTTATTACTTTTGTAAAATCAGCAAAAACATATATTATTAAAATGAACAAATTAAGCATGTATGTGCATTTATAAACATTTTTAAAGCTTAGTACATCTGAGAGCATATTTTAATATAAATGTTAATGGAAAGTGTTCCAATAAGAACTGTGTCAGCAACAAACTGTACAATATACCAGTACACAATGACAAAAATGCACATGTTAGTGCAGACATTTTACCCAGTATTATTTCAATTAGAACTGTGTCAGCAAAAAACTAAAATATGCCAGTACACAATGACAAAAAATGTACATGTTAGTGCATATATTAAAACCAGTTAGGGACATTGTTCCAATTACAACTGTGTCCGCAGAAAACTAAAATATGCCAGCACACAATGAAAAAGTTGATTTACCTCTGCTAAGAACCACTACTCCTAGGGTAATTATGAAGATAAGGCCCACAACTTTGCTGGCTGTGAGAAATGTCTGCACTTTGGTGACATACTTCATGTAGATACAGTTTAAAACTACAAGAGTGGCTGCAATAAAAATAAACCAAAGTTTATCAGTGATTAAGTTTCTCTAAAGTTTCAGAAAAAAAAATCATGACATCTGCTGCTCATTGGAATTTACACTGTAACAGGTAAATGAACATGAAATTTCAATTGAAACATGAACATTATATTTCTGGTACCAATCTTTCCTTTATACTCTCTCTCTCTTTCTCTCTCTCTCTCTCTCTTTCTTTCAAACAGATAGTATAAAAACATCTTGTCTCTGTATATTATAAATCTGATTATTAGCATAATTAGCAAGTGCAAAATAAATGTTGTGAGCTCAAAAGACATACATACAGTCATGTAAAAAAGGGGAAAAAATCAAACTGAATTCTGCACAAATGGTCAAAAAAATTTTTGTTTAAGGCTGTTTAAAATTAAAACTACGTTTAACGTCACCCGCGCGCGTAGGTTTATGAGAAATTCGTCTTTGAAAAAAACAAACAATTCGGAATTCCGTATGTCCGTTCCGGTTTGGTTCTTCAATTAGCGACTGAATTCTGCTTCCCGTAGTGACAGAAAATGTGCTTTGATAGCTGCAGTTACGGCAGTTTGTGTCTTATTAATGAAAACTAGAGAATTAAAGAGTTTGGGACCATAAATGTAAGTAAAAAATAGATTATTTTATGATTATATTAATGACAAAGTCTTGTTTGTTGATTTTTTTTTTGTCAGTCTTCGAATCATATGTACAGACTGACAGTGACAGACTCTCAGTTCGTGATTCTATTGGCTGAACTTTTCATTGTATTTTGGAGAGAATCGAAAAACTTTTTTTACTGAGTGGAAACTGTGTCAAAAACCAAGATTTATATACAGTGAAAAGCATCATTTAAATCTTACTAATATGTTTCATATTAAAAATATTTCTGTAAAAATCGAAAGGAACAGTAATGAGTAAAGTAATTGATTTCTTCATAATTTATGTACCTACAAATAGCTACAATTTTTGGGAAAGATAATATACTTGTCATAACCATTTGAGCAGGGAGAAGCTTACCGAAGATAGGGCCTTTCAAGTGAAGGAGAGTAAGGAAAGTGGTTGGGGTATTCCAAGATGTGAAGAATCCTGTCTTTTGTGTGGAATTCAAGGTATTAAAGATAATCTAACAACTATCAGTATGGTCCAAATATTAGTATTCACACTTTCAAAACTTAATGCTAGTAGATCTAGTACTAAGAAAAAATACGACATAATTCAATTTGAGGATATTTCAACATGAACACTTTTAAATATTGTCATCAATAATTTTGATTGTAGATATTGATCAACTTTTCCCACAAGAAGAAGCATTTGCCTCCAGGGTACCATGGACGTGTGGCAATATAAATCCAAAGGACAACTGAGGCCTAGTTAAAAGCCACTTTCCTGCACATTCAGTCTCAGACTACATTGTTTGCTAACAATAGGACTCAAACTGATTTACATACTAAGGAAAAACTCTGCTAGGGAAATTAATCTTAAGTGTCATATCAATTAAATGCTCTTATTACTTAATTGTAATGTTTTTAATGTACTGAATAGGTTGATTTGAATAAATTCACAATCGTTTGAAAATTTTGTTTGTTTATTTTTTTCCTCCCTCCCTCGTAGGTTTTGAACTTTAGATGTGACGTTAAACGTAGAATTAACTTTAAACTGCCTAAAGGTACTTGGACACAGATTTGAAGTTAATTATTTTCTCATTTTTTCTGTATAATATCACGAATTATATATTTTAATAGCATTTCACACAAAAATTAATTAAAAATCTTATTTCGTTTAAAAGTCATTAAAACTTTAAATTTTTTGACGGGTTTGATTGACACATCCTTGCACTTTCACAAATTTTAACTTTATTCTTAATCCTTAGGAAAAGTGGCAATTTTGATGTGTTTTAATGAGAAATATTAAAACTTTTATCAAGAAAAATAATTTTATTCAGAGTAGAAATGTTAGAAAGCAAAACATCTTCACAAGTATCGTCATTCCGAACTAAGAGGTGCGTGCAGAATTTAGCAAATCGAGCACACTCGTGTTATGTACACAGTTTTTGTAAACAGGGCTCGAGTTCTGTTATTTTTTATATACTCAACAAAAAAAGAAACGCATATTCATATTAAACATGATAATCTAAGTTTTCAGTTTAAACCTTAATTTTTAATTTAAAGTGTGTTGTGATAAAAATCAAAGTCGTATGTTCCAAAGTGTTCCAAATTGACAAGTTAAGCTGATGTCATTGACGTCGCCTTCAAATTGTAGAGGCATACGTCTTTACCAATTCATATGTCCTTTGCAACCTCTCAGCGCTAACTAGTGGATTTCCAGTGTACGGTCGTCGTACACGAATACCAGCTCCTCTCAGGCTTTTCCGAACAATTTGTGCCTTCTATGCTGATTTCAGCAGTTTGTATACAACAGTTCCCAGCCGTTTGCGCAGGTGATAATGGAGGATGTGATGGTACTTTCTGGGGGTGGTAACCCGCGAACGGCGAGTTCTAGGTCTGTCATCTCTGTTCCTAGCTGGTGGAGACGTGCATTTAACTGCTGCAAAGTCGATTGATGTACACCAAATGCAGTTGCAACTTCCAGTTGCGTAGTTCTGGTTAGAATCATTGATAGAGCCTTATTGCGTTCATCTTTGTTTAGGCGTGGCATTGCAGCATCAACATTGCAATCAAAGCAAAAATATGGGTTTAATAGGAGCGTATATTGTTTCTCTAAATCCTAAATTTCATTGAAAATAGACCCTCAATTTACAAGAAATCATGCAAAACACTATTTTCATAAACATTATTGATCAAGGGAAATAATTCAACAATTGGGGTTTAAAAGCCCATGGTGTACATTAAATAGGTCACAGGTATTTAATGATAAAAAAGATAATTGTTCCATATACTTTTTCAAAATTTATTTGATGAGTTAAAATTATGCGTTTCTTTTTTTGTTGAGTATATTTCGAATTCACCGGGTGCGTTCAATCGTCACAGTCTGCTTACCACAGCTGCACGGACTGACAATATATTGTGCGTTTGTTTTGCTTTCGAACGTGTCTACTCTGAATTTTCTGGATTATAGTATTAATATTTTTCATTTATACAAAACGAGATTGCCACTTTTCCTAAGGATTAAGAATAAAATTAAATTTGTGAGAGTGCAACGATATGTCAATTAAACCAACCGAAAAATTTGAAATTTCAATATCTTTTAAACGAAATAAGATTTTTAATTAATTTTTGTGTGAAATGCTATTAAAATATATAAGTCGTAATATCATAGAGAAAGTAATAACTTCAAATCTGTGTCCAAGTACCTTTAAGTTCCAAACATTTCTAAACAGTGATCCTCACAACATTCATTTAATATTTTGGAGGCTGTTTGACTGCACTGACATTAATATCATTGGTTTGGCCCATGGATATCAGCCTGGGTAACACACTCTACAGAGCACCTGAGTAGTGATGCAGCATCCCGGGTTCGATTCCCGGTCCAGTCATACATTTTTTCCTTTACACTTTTGGGAATTTACACATCTTGAATTTTTTTTCTTATCTTTCAGTCAATTACATATAGCCTTTCAATGACAAGCCCAAAATGATTGGTGCAATGAGAGAAAGCAAGGCTAAGAAAAAAAAATTTGCAGTTTTTCAGGCGACTCACATTTATGGGCATGACTCCACAATCAGGATGAGGATGTTGTGAGGATGAGAATTAATATGTTACATATGCAGGTTCCATGTGTACTAATATAATATAGTTGATGTGATATCTCTGTCTATAGTGAATGTGGACATGTATCACCTTTCACCTTCCAGTAATGTGCAGAATGAAGATTTACATCTAAGTTAGAAATATTTATCAATGCTTTTGGTTTATCAAGTAAAAAATTACAACGGCACTCACCCAAAAAGTGGTATCTTAAAACATATTAATTTATCTTTATAAAGTTTTGTGAATAAAATGCTTTTAGGTTTGTAAAAATGATCAAATGATTATTCTGCTAAAAGTGTGCATACTTACTTAGTATCCAAGCACCAAGAATTTTTACACCAAGAGCAGGAGGCTCACAATCAAGTGGGAAGAAAGGTTTCAGAATGTACACAGAAGCTGTGTAACATAAATATGCCCAAAACGGTCCGATTATCAATACTGTGTATCCCCACATGATGATAAACCCTGACATTCCACCAAAAACATTGGTGACATAAGCATAGGGACCACCAGAAGACGGAAAAACAGTAGCAAGCTCGACAAAACAAAGGCAGACACTGATGTTTAACAAACCAGCAAATACCCACACAATAATCGTTAATCCGATCGATCCGACTGTAGAAAAAATGACACTTGGTGAAATGAAAATAGAGATATGCCCTGTCACAGCAACCAGGACTGCAACACAGTGCAGCAAGTTTATACTCTTTTTCATTCGAATTTCCTGTGTCTCTATTTGAACGTTAGTTTGATCTGCCATTTTACCCTTTTTTACCCTTCTTCTAATAAATGTATAATAGCCAAATGATATCTTTGTCCATATTTTGACCTGTATGTCAAGTGTCAATCCACTTATCTCATTTTATCTCTAAAAATCCCATAGCTGTGTTGGCTTGTCATAAAAATAATCACACCAGGATGTATGAATGCGTCTCAAAGTAACAGAATGATTCACGTTTGGAAATGTAGTATCCGGCAAGTAACCTTTACCCTTGATTTATAAATAGTTAATTTTACGTTTGCATAAAATGGATTTGAACCTAGAGGAGGGTTTCTGGAATGCTACAGGTAAGTATTTTACTTAATTTATACAAATTACTAGTACCTCTCCCCCTTTTCGCGAGAGACTGTCTATGTAGGGCCTACCTTTACGACATTGTTCATTAGACGAAAACCCAATCTGATTTTAATATATTTAGTTGGTCCTTTAAAAACTTTGGATTTTTAGTACTATTGCACATTTATAAAATAACAGTAATATTATTTACTGCATCATTGCACACTGTAGCAAGCAAAGATTCATCTGATTATAAACCGTTCACCCACTGAGTAAACTTACAGGTCTAAGTACTAAGTGATAACATTGATAATGTAATACACTATTAACAGAACTTTATTTTTCAGTAGAGTTTAATAATTTATTTATCATATTTTTACTTATAATAAATTTATATAAGCTGGGGAGTGTCTGTTATCATTGATTTCAACCATTGTGGATCTCGGATCGAAATCTTACTTGAAAAGAATTTTATTTAGATGTTTATAATTTATAATTAGTATATTATACAGTTATGGAATGGGTACGAGAGAAATAGCAAATTTATGGTTCCCCGAGGGAGGAAACTATTCCTGCCGAGGGGAACCATAAATTTGCTATTTCCCGAGTTCCCATTCCATAACTGTTTTATTATACCGAAACAATCATAGGCAATTTAATATTTTTTTTTACCAGATATTCCGACATTTAAAAAAAAAAACAATTAGTATGAAAAAATCAGCCAGCATTTGACTCAAATGATACCGGTAAATTGTATTTGCTGACAAGGCCATTGTATCGACCATTTTTTTTTATTTCTATATTTAATTTTATCTCGGACAAAGAGATTGGAACTGTAAATATGAACAAAATAATCTTTTTCTTTTCTCTCGAAAAAAACCTAAATGACCACATAAAAAAACTTTTTAGCATATGGAGAAAAATAAGAATTGTTGTCCTAGACAACCATTTTTAAGCGCTAAGCGCAGCGCAAAGCGCTTTCTGTCGCCGTAAATCTACTTCCGTTCCGGATCCAGTGCCACTAAGCAAGTTAGATAACTCCACTGGTTTTTCTAAAAATATGCAACTGAAATCCCCAACTCTCTTTCGGCTATTTTTGTGTAATACTGAGTTACGTGCAGTTCTAATAATAGGAGTCAATTAGTAGGTAAAGATATGCATGCACATGGTACGAAAATCCACTGTTAGTTGTAAGGCTTATCTCTATACATTGTAGTTCATTTTAAATCGTATCGGCACTCATCACCACTCATCACATGTGTAACATGTTGTTAACAGTTGCTGCATTTATGGCACAAGTATTTTATTGAAACGGTATATTATATGTTATGCGCATTTACTGCAGTGATCAAATAAGTGCATATTTTTAAAACTAAGATGAGATTTTGACAAGTATTTAATTCTTCGATCTGGAATTGAATTATTTAGCAGCACTTATGAAATTGAATTTTAAGGTGCATATGTACGTTCTATAAACGTATATCCATATAAAATATTGTTTCTTCTTCTACGCGTAGACCCTAATTTCAGGCAATGCTACTAAAACAAGTCTTTCTTTTATCACCCTTGCACCATGCAGAGAGCTATTAATGAAGTTGATTTTCGCATCGCAGTATCAATTAATAACAGACTGGAATGCATTCAAGGACTGTCTACACTTTGTGTTGTACTCTATACTTTTACATGAAGTAAATAATTCGCAATGAAAGGCATGCAGTTTGAGGCTGTGGGTACATGTAGGGCACGTGGTGGCTGTGTGCTTTAAAATTGTGTGTGCAGTGCGCAAGATATGGAGCAAAATGAAAAAAACCTTAATTAAACTTTCTTAACAATGGACAGGAAAAGCGCCGTTAAATTGTAAGCAACTAGTGCTAATTGTAACGGGGACCGTTACAGATGTTCCCCAAACGCTCCCCAACTACCTTTTGGTGCCATATTCCCTGTAAGCTTCATTAAATAAGACAAACTCTATTCATCTGAGATTTTAACAACATTTACAAAGAAGTGTACAAAAATCATTTAAACTTTAGCATTGCACGCGTGCACATGTGAATGCATTTCCGTCATGACCATATCATCTTGTCTTCACAATCTGTATTTTTAATACACTGAATATTAAAGTATTTAATCCAAAATTATTTAAAAAATACGCTCATTCAAGTGTATGTTTGATTTTACTCATTTCACGTGCACGCACGTGTATACATGAGCATGGTGACCATACCTTCTTGTAGAAGTCCATTACATCTATCTATGTTCCAAATCCCATCCTGTTTGGTTGAAAACCAAGGGAGTTATAGCTGTTTAAAGTTTCAGCCAATCAGATTGCAGCGCACGTGCATGCACGTGTTTTCATGATAATTGCTTTATTTCATGTTGTAGGAAATCCTAATGCATGGCTATGTTCAAAATTTCAAAGGATTTCGTCAAACAACAAGAAAGATATTGAGACTTTAGTTGCAGTCAATCAGAGCGAAGTGCACGTGCATGCGCGTGAGATCTTGCTATTTTCACCATGTCGTCATGTCTATACTACTAATATATCCTCACATTATGAGTTTCAAAGCATTTCATCTAAAAATAGAACAGTTGTGGCTATATCTACTATATTGGTCATTTCACGTGTTGCACGTGCACGCTCTTGCAAGCACGTGCGCGCAAAATGACCTTGATTCCGCAAATCTACATAACATGTCTACTAACCCTAAAAAGGTTTTACCTACATCGGACGTACAGTTTACAAGATCATTCCCGGACAAAAAAGTTCCAGGAAGAAGAAGAAGAAAAAAAATAATAATAATAAGAAGAAACAGAGTAAAAACAATATGTTCCCCAACTTCGTTTGGGGAACATAAATAGTGTACCCGGTAATACTTGTATTAGGAAACAAATAGTTATGTAAAGATGTGCGCGTGTTGTCGATTTGACTGCTAAGCAACTTAATGAAGACTACATAAAAACAGAATAAAACAATGTTGTATTCCCTCCTAAAACTTTATAACTGCTTGAGATTGATTTACCGTATTTTGCTTCTTGGTCTGCTGAATTATTTATCTTGGAAATAGTAGAAATATTACGGGCAATTGTTTTCGGTTTTCCTTTTCAATTTACACAAGAGTGCTATGGATATTTTTTCCTCTATACACACTTTATGCTTTATGCTTTAGTTAATTAAGAATTATGTAAACGTCGGTAAAAAAAAAAACTGAAGCATTGTGAAGTATTTCAACAATAGTCCAAGAATACTTTTGGGGGTTAATAACATTTTTAATCCAAAGAAGAAAAGTACGAAATTTTTAATTTAAAAAAGGTATTATTCAGATACACACATGTTGTGAGATCAACAGAGAAGACAATTGTTTGGTTGCAAATACATTTATAAATCATGTATATTAAAACCGGAGTTAATGGGATAGCAGCGAATGTTTTATCATCAAACGAAAATGACAAAATAATAATTAAAATATTATATTTTTATACTCAAAAAGGACGTTAACTCTACGGATCCTCGTTTCATTGACATAGTTTAGTCACTTGACGTTGTTACAAACATGATGCCAAAAATAAATAACTATGCTGCACAGCGCCATGAATATGAGGTGTTAAAAATGTATCATTCACAGCTGTAGCTTATTTTAAACAAAATGTAATATATAGTCTAAGTTTTATTTATCATTAATAAATACTGGTCAGTGGACGATCGTGGCGATTGTGTAAATATATTACACAACCAATTGATGTATTTCTTGTTAAATCCTTTCTATAAAACAAAATTTATAAACCACTTACGAATATGTAAAAAAAAAAAAAAAGAAAAAAAAAGAGAGAGAGAATTACTAAAAACAATTTAGTAAGAATCCTTAGTCTAGTATTCGATATTTTTGAGAGGTTTTAATCAAAACTCTAACAAATAATCATGTTATCAATAAGGAATTTTTCATCGACGCAATAAACAAATAACATCTTTATTTTCTAAGTGTAGTTTTTAAAATTCAAGTACTGTCATGTTAATTGTCATGTTGTAAATTTTGTATTTACTGCCACCCGGTAAATTCAAAATTTACAACATGACAGTACAGTCACTAACAGCCAATCTTCAAATTGTAACACTCGTTAACACGGAATGAATTCATTTTTTTAAAACTATCACCATAGCATTTTAGCTAACGGTGTTGCAAAAAATGAGAGGAATTTCAGCAACATTCAGCGACATTTTCAAGTGTTCAAAATTATTTATACGTATACAGTCATGTGCATTTTCCAGCAAATGTATAGCTTTATTTATAATTCTAAATTCTAAACCTCTTTTAGACTCCTATAAGGCGATTGAGAAAGAAAATATTTTTACAGGTTTTATTTTAGAAATACATTGCAGTTTGGACTCAATATCTGTCATTTAATATATTTGGGGGGGGGGGGGGGGGGTTCGTTTTTTTTTATAGAAACGGAGAAATATTTTCTTTCATTTTCATGTATGTAAAATTGATTGATCTTTTGACAGAAGAAACGGCATAAGGCAATCATGCCACTCGTTCGATTTCGACAGCGATGGAGTCAATAAAAGTGTAATTGATGCAAATCACCCATATTCCCAAAACGCCGGCAAGACAATTTACGGCAGCAGACTTCTGGGGGTGGATCCTAGGTTCTTAGCTTTCTTAGTTAGAGAAAAAATAAACGTCTACCCCAGGAAGTAGTCCCTTATGCCCTTAATAGTTCCTGTCAAAAATCTTTATTTATTTACAAAATACGTAAAATGTCAGAGGCACTGGTACCAAAATTCATATTTAAAAAAGTTGGATTGAAGAAAATAAGAAAAAAAATCAGCAGAAAATATTCACTTTAAAATGAAAATGTTTACATAGCCAATCGGGTAACGTCTACCCATTCAGTACTCGTCTCCATCTTGTTCAATCAGGAAATGATGTAAGCGTCCGGGAATTTGGTACCCTTTTATCTATATTTCGACGCGGTACTTCCACAACTACCAGATGCCAATTTGTACTAAGAAAAAATATTTTGAAATTGAACTACGTAAATAATTGAAATACAGCTTTTTATTAAAGAATTACTTTACTATAAATAATTTCCTTCCCTATTTTTGACTTCCAACCCCCCCCCCCCCACAAAAAAAATGGCAGGGGGGGGGGGGCAAATCTTCTAAATAATTGGTATTCTTCCCATAATTTAAACCCAGTAAATTTTAAGATCCCTCCCTCAAACCTGCTGACATTAATTGCTTGGCGCACATCTCCCCGGGGAAGAATCACAGATTAACGTTAATTCGGCTTTTATTGAGTTTGCTATATGGAGAGAATGATAAGGTTTTCTTGGCATGATGTTGAATTTCATATCCCAACGGGAAGACTCATGTTTGATTATGTATCAAACAATTGTGCTCGGCCTAGTACAGCCGCACTCTCAAGATACATGTATTGTATAAATTCCAATACAAAAGGCAATTTAAATTAAATTAAATTAAATCTGATGAATTGCAAAAAGCAATATGCTTAGCGCTTCCCAGTACTTACAGTACTTTGATTTGTACTTGTCAGAATCATTCACACTGTTCATATCTGTTCAGGCCACCAATGGATGGTATTGATTTCTGCATTATTATGCAGCGATAATTTAACGGCGAAAAATGTTCAATGTAATTCATCTTCCTTCCTGAATAAAATTACGAAATTTGAAAATACAATGTTTATAAATATCAATTCTTAAATGTAGATTCAATTATAAATAATGTCGATGTCATCGACATACATGCTAAATTATAGATTACATCAGAACACTTTGACTTTTTTTGCTTTTAAAGACCCTCTCTACAGGAAAACGATATATTTGTTTTGATATTGAGAAAAAATATATTGTATAAAGATATTAATACTGAGCTGATCGTTTTGATTTTCACTATACATGTATGGTATCTAGCATTGTTCAAACACAACATTATCAGTGAATAGAAATCACTGTAATATTTTTTACTTCCATAGAGAAAATACATGTAAATAACACGCTAATATTATAATAATAATTAAATTATATTGGCCTTTTAAAAAAAATGTTAAGAATACTTGAATTGATAACAAAATGAGAAATATACTACACATTTATTAGATTACTCTAACTGTATTCTTTAATGTGCAGCGTAGAGAGGGTTCTTCATTGGTATTGTTACTTTGTTGGTGAATGAACTTCATTTTGTGTGCGTCTGTCTTTTTTATGGACCAGCCATTTTGTTTGTGAATGGCCCTGATTGTTTTTCTTACTTTTTTCATGTTTTATAAGCCACTTTTCTGACGTATGAATTTACAATTTTTATGGTTAAGCCATTTTAATGATTTGAGAACTTTTTTGTCTTTTTCATGGGTTTAGCCACTTTGTTGGTTTACGGAGTAGTGTCAGGGGTTGTAGGAGGTGGTTTTCTGATGGTCGACCTCTACCACAAACCAAAGTGGATATTAAAATATAAGATACAGAAAGACAGTACAAAGGTATGGAAAGAATACATAAAAACTCATTATTTTTTAAAGATGTACTCAATATTTAACAGGTTTTTACGATCTCATATATTCAACAATTTTGAGCTTTTGGCATATCTTATTCTGCGGTTTCCTGTTTCTGTTTCTATAGGTTGATCCAGCGAAGCTTAACAAGCTCTGGCACAACATGTTACTCAATAGTACAGTCATCTTGTTACCGAGCTCAGTGCTGTTTTATCTGGCACTAAAATGGCGAGGATGTGACCTCTCTTTTTCTTTGCCTGGTTGGAGACAATTCATCTTCCATATGATAAGCTGTATTCTCATCGAGGAGATAGTGTTTTATTACAGTCATAGGTAATGTATATAATATATCATTTTCCATTTCCATCCATGAAATCGCTATTTTTTTCCTACTGCTGAAAAAACTGATTTGGTGCATGAAAGGGACTAAGAGAATTCTGGATTTGAAAGGATCAGTAATTGTTTTGTAGGATGCTACACACCCCGTTCTTCTACAAGCATATCCACAAAAAGCATCACGAGTGGACAGCGCCTGTTAGTTTCACCGCCGTGTACGCCCACCCAGTTGAGATGCTTGTCTCTAACCTGATGTCTCTGGTACTCGGACCTCTGATCTGTGGTTCTAACTTTATCACCACCCTTGTCTGGCTGGCTCTGTCTTACGCCGTTACCCTTATACACCACAGCGGATACAACCTGCCCTTTCTTCCGTCTCCAGAGTTTCATGACTTCCATCATCTTAAGTAAGAAATTCCAATCGAACACTATTCTGATCGCAGTATACTAAGCAAGTGACACCAATTTGTTTGTATTTTCATTTTAGGTTTATCGGGAATTATGGCGTCATAGGAGTACTGGATAGATTGCACGAAACAGACATGTTATTCCGGAAGTCTAGACAAGAGTACAAGAAACTTGATAAAAAATAACTTCTGTTTCTTTTATGTTTGATTTCAGTGTAATTTTTTGCTTTGAGGAACTGAATGATTGTTGTTTTTTTTTAAAAAATGAATATTGAATAAAATTGTAAATTACAATATAAGTCAGATGTTTATGAATATTAAATATGTTTCCGAATATGAATGATAAATGTTATCAAATATAACTCAGGTTTTCTAACCTATTGCAAAATGTTAGCGTTTTACCACGGAGTGACGCTAAGCTAAGATGATGGAATGATGGAATTCCAGGGGAAATGAAATCTTTATTGTTCTCCTCTTATCTAAATAAAAAACAGTTAATAAACTGAAATATATCTTCTTGTGATTTAAAATACACGTGGCACTGATATTTCTTTTTAAATACTTTTTATACATACATGTTTTGTCCTTTATGCAACATTTCATATTTTTGTGCTACTTCTTGTACATGCCAGTTAATTGTCAAGAAACAGAATTTATTCAAAATCTATATGGAAAAAAAAACTTGCTGTGGCTTTGAACTTGATATCTAGTTATATCGACGACGTATTATCAATAAAAATAGTTACTTACGGTCCAGTCTTGTATTCCACCATATTTCAAGTTAAAGATTACACCTTGTATTTCCTACAAGTAAACATCGACCATTGCTTCCAAACTTTTCAATTACAAAAAAAAACTTTACATGGCCTAGATATCGAATATCTGAAACATAATCCTCCATCGTGTTTATGTTCTTCTCTGCCCTATAACTATAGTCCTACTGGACACGTTATTACAGGTGATGAAAATATACTTAATAATGAGGACCTTAAATCACTTATTTTAAAAGGTCCTAAATATAGGGAACCCCGATCCTTCAACTGGTGTCGGAATTTCATAAATATTATGGATTCTGTTGAAGATTACGCTAGAGGACGGGCCAGATATGAAAAAGAAGACGTTGAAACCTTGTTCGAATGGATTAAATGTATCAGATGCATGTTAAAATCCTGTATTAAAAGATTGAGGGTCAAAATGAAAACTATCCATTCTTCTGTATTAAAAAAATCCAGAAGTGAAAAAAGAATTAGATAGATTACATGATCAGTACGTACTGGTCCCTGCTGACAAAGCAGGTAACAACATTGTCTTCCTTTGTAAGTCTCATTCTACAAATTGTATTTTAGAAGAACTTGGATTTAATTCTACCAGTGGTAATCCAACTTATACTCATAGTTCCCTATCTAAGGAAGAAATTCCACAAAATGGATGTCAGTTTTGAATATTTTTAAGAACCAAAATGAAGCTGAACTACCATATATATATTGGATTCCGAAACTTCATAAGAATCCTTAAAAACAAATGCTCAACCAAGCCTCTCTCTTTACTCCTTACTAAGATATTGTCAGTAGTGAAGGAAAAACTTCAAGAGTACTGTGCAACAATATATTCAAGAAGTGGTGTAAATCAGATGTGAACACTCAAAAATTCCAAAGAACTTTTGGACAATTTGAAATCACAACATTTTACCGAAATTAACAGCTTAAAAAGTTACTTCTTTTCAACTTTATACACAACAATTCCCTACGATAAATTAAAGTCCAGACTTTTTGATATCATTGACAACTGCTTTTTCAATAAAAATGGAACTCCTAAATTTACTTACCTGAACATTGGTCATTTGCCAAATTATTTTGTTAAAACACATTCTGATTGCATACACAAGTACTCTGAAGTTGACATCAAAAATATGCTTGAGTTTCTAATTGACAATATCTAAGTGGTTTTTGGAGACCAGATCTTTCAACAATCCATTGGAATTCCCATGGGTACCAATTGCATTTCGTTATTAGCAGACTTTTTTTGTATTCATATGAAGCACAATTTATGCAAAATCTTATGCGTGAAAAAAGAAAACACTTGCTGTGGCCTTCAGCTCGATATTTAGATATATCGACGACGTATTGTCAATTAACAATGGTAATTTCCATTCCTATATCTATACGATATATCCTGGTGAGCTTGAGATAAAAGATACCACAGAGTCTGACACATCTGTTTCATACTTGGATATTTTACTTAAAAAAGACGTTAATGGTAATCTAACAACTAAGCTCTATGATAAACGTGATGACTCTAACTTTTCGATCGTCAACTTCCCTTACTTAAGCAGAAATATACCTTCCTCAGCTGCATAAGGAGTTTGTATATCTCAGTTGATTCGATACACAAGAGCATGCTCTACGTATGAACAATTTCTAAAGCGAGGTAAATTATTGACAAACAAGTTGATGAAACAAGAATATCAGGAGTCTCGTTTAAAGTCATCATTTCGTAAGTTCTATGGTCGATACAGTGACCTTGTCAGCAAATACAATTTATCATTGAGTCAAATGATGACTGAAGTTTTTCATACTATTATATATACACTGAACTGACGAATTGACGACGGATTTTTCCGTTATATCCCGATAATGACAAGGAACACACGGCGGGTGTGACGGGTTCGCAGGGGATGCTCACTCCTCCATGGCACCTGATCCCACCTCTGATGTTTTGGAGGTCCTTGTTTGCTCTGCTCCTATTTTTGTACTGCTTTATGGACTTTGACATTGAATACTGTTCGTTATTTCCATATCCTTCATTACTTCCATTCATATGCCAGCTCGATATATATATCACAGAACTTGAAAAAAAAATACCACAGAGCCTGACTGAGCTATTTCATATTTAGGTGCTTTACTTTTTTGTAACTTATTGATTAATCTCATTTACAAAAAATCATTCATTGGTGCTAAGAATTTCTCTACCGGGTATATCTGATAAGGGCCCACAAACTAAATTGTATGACAACTTACCTTTAGTTACATATAAATATTGCATGTAGTTGAGTGTAAACATTGAAAATTTTCACCCCCGAGGTTGACAATGGTTTTCGAGGGTGAAAATTTTCAATGTTACACTCAACTACATGCAATATTTATTATATTATACTGAATGTTTTATACAAATACATATAACAGTAAACCGTTCGCGCATAAATTCTGCGCAGTCGCTATTTTTTGGAATATCACCCGTCGTCAAGCACTGTTGACTGTTGCTACGCTGGAGGGCGTGGCTTCATTATTCAGCGGATAATAGTGCTTTTTAAAAATGTTTCTTGACCAATCAGATTCAATTAATTTACATGAAAGTATAATATTTAGATATATTGACGATGTATTATCAATGAACAACGAATACTTCCATTGATATACCGAGTCTTTATATCACAGTGAGCTAGAAATAAAAGATACCACTAAGTCTCACACAGCGTTTTTCATAAGTAGATATTTTACTAGAAAAAAGCTTACGGTTACCTAACAACAAAACTTTTAGTTAACATTATCATAAGCTTTTCAATCGTTCACTTCCCTTACGGATGTATCACTATACGTGTCACACCTACATACAGAGTTTATGTCTGCAAGTTGATTTGATACTCAAGAGCATGCTCTGTATACAGTCAACAAGTCGATGGATCAAGGATATCAACTGTCTCGTTTGACGTCATCAATTCGCAAGTTTTATGATTGTTAATTACCTTTTTGCAAATACAACCAACCTTTCATTAGGTCAAATTGTCTACGGATTTTCCCCATTTTTCTAGATTATGAGACATTGCGAGTGTGACCGGTTGGTAGGGATTGAACTCCTCCAATGACACCTGATTTCATCTCTGATATTTTTGGAGGTCCGTGTTTGCTGTGGTCCCTATTTGTTATTCTTCAATTAGACTTTGAGTGTGAATTTCGTTTTTATGTCCATAACATTCAAAATTTCTTTCCAAATATTAAAGAAATTCCCCCTTTTTTTTAAAAAAAAAAAAAAAAAGGAATGTTCCAATATAAATTCAGCAATGATACCATATTCGGTAATCTATACAAGCTGAATATGAAGGATATTTTCAATTTATACATTATATAGGACAGATAATCTTTATGTATCTCGTATGTTACATTTGCTTGTAAATAAAGATATATAGAAATAATGTACACAAAATGACATAACGTTAGAAAGAAAGTAGAGATAACAATTCAGGTACAGCGCATATATAGATATGTAGATATACGTTATTAACAAATCTATTCATCCTAAATAGCTAATGATGTATACTGATTTTCGAGAGCTTTTCCGGGTTGTATGGTGTGAGTATATTTTCTAAAACCACAATTATTTCAAGAAAACAAGTTAACTACACATTAATAATCTATTTCAACTGAACTGTTTTATTTATTTTGGGACACAACTTATGACAAACAACTGAATGTATCAATGCTCGATTGTTATTACATCTTATCAAAGCAAGAGATAAATGCAACATCACAACAATTAAATTAAATTTTGCACACGAAAGATTTTAAATCCTCATTTTTTATCAATAAAATATACAGAACGCTTTATTATAGCCACATTTGCGGTTTACCTCTCCATTCTTTCTTTGGTGGGTGGCGGATTCCTGGTGGTGGATCTATACCACAGACCAAGATGGATTCTCAAGTATAAGATCCAAAAGGGGAAAAATCTCATGGTTAGGAACATTCCTTATTTTACTGTAATTTTCAAGAAAACATCATTTTAAACTTTTCTTGCAACTGTTTTAATGCTTTGAGCGGTACAGTATCGGTTAGAATAAGGGCTTGTTTATAAAAATTGGAATCTCTATGACGTTTGCCTTCGTTTCAGATAGAGAAAAGGCGGCTTTGGGATTTATTTAACAATGTAATTCTCAATAGCACCATTATCTTGTTGCCAGGGGCTGTTGTGTTTTACTTTCTGTTAAAATGGCGTGATGCAGATCTCACTTTTACATCACCCTCCATCACTGTATTTTTGCTTCACTTTTCTGGATTCATTATAATAGAGGAAATAGGATTTTATTACGCACATAGGTAATACAAATAAAAATATCAAGGAAAAATAATGTAGAGTAGTTTGATTTCTTTTATGTTTTTAATAAAAATCTAAATCATATCAGATATATCCGTTTTAACTTTTAAAAAATCCTATAATTCAATTTTCAAAATTTTCAATTAGAAAGAATGTTTGGATCTATATTTAATAAAGATTCATGCACTCTTCATCTTTTCATACTTCATAGGCTTCTGCACTCATCGTTCCTCTACAAGCGAATACACAAGAAGCATCACGAATGGACCGCCCCTGTTGGACTAACTGCAGTATATGCTCACCCTGTAGAAATGCTGGTCTCCAACCTTATTCCGTTTTTGTGCGGACCAGTGGTATTCGGAAGTAACCTTGTGACCTCATTATGGTGGTTTGCTATCGCATTCACTGTTACCATTATACACCATAGCGGATACCATTTACCATTGCTACCATCGCCAGAATTTCATGACTTCCATCATTTAAAGCAAGTATAACTAAATATGCCAAATGCTTAGAACTGAAGATTACACGTCTAATAGTTGGTTGATTTTCCAAACAAATTTGTCTTCTTATTTTTCCAGATTTACTGGGAATTACGGCGTTCTTGGGGTTTTGGATAGATTACATGGTACAGATAAACTGTTTCGCGAGAGCTCAAGGTTCAAGAAACATCGAGTTATTTTTTCTGCCGCGGCTTTAACATAATCTGTTGGACATGTAGTGGATATAATTTAAGCAATATGTATACTTTGTTCGAAGGATGTAATAATCGAAAAAAAATTTTTATAAAGCTGGCAAAGTTGCACAGGGTCTGCTTTTGTGAATACCTTATAAAATTCTCTCGTGAAAAAATACTACAATGAATACAGAGTATGCATTTGAAAAAGAGTCAAGTTTTCTTTAAATGCAGAAAAGTGTTCATCATAAAATGAATACTTGAGAGTGCTTCAAGCGGATTAAAACAGTTATCTTTCGCAGATTTAGGATAAAAAATGGTACAAAAGCTTCCTTTTGTAATTTCATCTGAATTGTAAGTTTAGTTTCTACAGTCACTCTGTAAATTTACAACATAGAATTTGTTGTTTAGATGTTCAACAATTCTCCCCTCTCAAAAATATCAGCTGCTGTGAAAGAGAAACATTATATTTATTGGCTGTAATGTATAAAGTGTCATAACTCTAAAGTGGATTCTTTAAAATATAAAATCATATGTTAGCATCAATTTCTTTTATATTATTATCCAATATGATTTTTCTTTACTATGTATACAACTATCAGAAAAAATTATATATATTAAAAAGAAGACATTGGATATCATGGGCAAATGCTTCTTCAATAAAAAATAGAACTCAAACAATTTTCTTACCTTATGATTGGTATTTTTCATGGATCCTTTCAAAAAAAATTAGCTAACATTTGTAAAACCAATTATCTTTCTGTGTTCAGTTATTCAGGAGTGAAAAAAGAATTAGATAGATTACACGATCAGTATGTACTGATCCCTGCTGACAAAGCAAGTAACAACATTGTCTGTGTTTGTACATGTAAGGTTCATTGTTTAAATTACTAGTATATGCTAGAAGAACTGGGGTTTAATTCTACTAGTGGTAATCCAACTTATGCTCACAAATCCCTTTCTAAGGAAGAAATTCTTCAAACTCATAATATATCAGTTTTGAATATTTTTAATATCCCAAAACAACCAAAATGAATTTGAATTATTATATCGATATTGGATTCTAAAACTTCAAAAAATCCTTGAAACAAAGGTACAGAGAAGAAGATTTATGAATCTCGGCCCTGGTACCTGTAAAAGTTCTACTGAAACTATTTCTTTACTCCTCACTAACATTTTAATGGTTGTGAAGGAGAAACTTCATGTACTGCGCAACAATATATTCCAGAAGTGGTGTAAATCAATCATATGTGAATGCTTAAAACTTCTAAGGAACTCTTGCAAAATATGAAATCACAAAATTTTACCAAAATCATCAGCATAAAAACTTGGACTATTCAACTTCATATACAACCATCCCCCACGATTAGTTCAAGTCCAGACTTTTTTGATATCATAGACAGCTGCTTTTTTCAATAAAAAGGAACTCGTGAATTGAATTACCTTGCCATGGTCATTTGCAAAATTATTTTGTAAAAGAAACAATCTGATTGTACACACAAGTATTCTGAAGTTGATATTAAAAAGATGCTCGAGTTTCTGATTGATGATAGCTACGTGCTTTTTGAAGACCAGGTCTTTCAATAAAATATTGGAATTCCCATCGATACCAATTGCACCTTACTATTAGCAGCCCTATTCATATGAGGCAAAAATATTAAACTTGGAAAAAGAAAACCCTTGTTGTGGCTTTCAACTCGACATTTAATACGACATACCGTTAATTATCAATTAACAATGGTTATTTCCATTCTTATGTCGATGCGATATATCCCGATGAGCTTGAAATGAAAGATACTACAGAGTTTGACACATGTTTCATATTTGGATATTTTACTTGAAAACGACGTTAATGGTAATCAAACAACCAAACTTTATGACATGACGACCTTAACTATATCAAACGTTAACTTCCCTTATTTATGTAGCAACAAACCTTCATCACCTGTATACTTAGTGAATATCTCTCGGTTGATTCGATACATACGAGATACTCTATGTATGAACAATTTCTAAGACGAGGTAAATTACTGACAACCAAGTTGTTGAAACAGGAATATCGGAAACCTCTTTCAAGTCCTCGTTTCGTAAGTTCTATGGTTGATACAATGACCTTTGCAGCAATTACAATTTATCAAGTAGTCAAATTCTGACTGATGATTTTTTTAATACTGATTGTTAAATCATTGTTTACATACTGAATTGTCGACGAGTTTTTTTTTGTTATTTACCGATCATGATAAGGAGCACACAGTTGGTTTGATCGGTCGGCAGGGGATGTTCACTCCTCTATGGCACCTGACCCCATCTCCGGTGTTTTGGAGGTCCGTGTTTGCTCCGCTCCTAATTTGTATTTTTGAATGGACTTTGGGACTTGAATACTGATAGATATCTCCATATATTTCATTCATACTTTAACGTTTTTCATACACTCGCGTCTCTGTCCTTGCAAATAAAAAAAGAACTAAATCAGAATATCCTTGCAAAAGACCCCCAAAACCTTTTAGTTTTCCCCCCTTCATTTTTACTGCCAAAATTTTGCCAAAATGACATGCGGTAAATTTGAATTGACCGGATGAGAGTGCAAAAATTCTGCATTTGCTCTCACCCAGCAAAATTCAAAATTTAGTACATGACAAAATATGGATAAATTCAGCATAAAACGGGCATCAATCAATCCAGCTATCACCTGCCTCATGTAAATCGTGCACAAACAATTCCCCATCAAGGCATTCTAAGAATGCTATAAATATCTGTCAGATAATTATCTCCCTTTCTCCATTGGTAAAAAAAGACAACAACGTAATGATTTAAATTTTTCATTTTTAATTGAAAATTTAAAAGCAAGTCATATGTAACTATTACTATTTTCTATCTCTCACACGTTTATTCTTTTATGACAAAAATCAATAAGGTATAATTCTATTTGCAAGCATTTAAGAAGTTTACTATTAATCAAATTATCCTTATTTTCTGACTGTCACAATTGCAATTCAAGTTCAATAACTCGACGCATTCTGTTTATATCGTTGTAAATATGCTGGCAAGGCAGTTTCCAATAAATGGAATAGTCAGTCTTCGTAAGGTGTTTTAAAATACTAAGGATCAGCATTGTGCTGTACAGGTATAATAAATGTTTTCCTTTTTGGCTTACTAATACTTCTCCACTAAATAATTTAGGAAAGTATATGTACATATCTCAGTATTAAAAGCAAGATATTTAATATAAAAGTCCGTATACATACCATTGAAGCATATACTACATGCTGACATTACTACAAAAGTGCAAAATTTTTAAAAACAGCTACATTAAGATGAGTACAAAAATCTCATTTCAAATACATGTACCTATTGTTTGGCAAAACTTCATAAGTTTATATTCGCACAAACAATATGTGAAATGAAAAAAAAATAAGTTACGGTAAAAGTTGTATAAATACAAGCACATTAATAGAGTATTTTAGCACAAGCCGTTTGATGCCAACACGTTTCATATTTTGATTACTTACATCGCATTATCCACAAAGCAGTGAAAGCACAACTGGATAACATTCGAGACGATTTCACATTTCCAGACGTACAACTTGGTAAAATAATTGTAAAAAGAATTCAGATGGAAGAATTTTAAAAATATTATTAAAGTAGAAAAGATAAGTTAAATATTTTGTAGAAAATGAACAGCAAACCAAACTATTCCGCCTCGGGGTTCAGGCAGACCCGCAGTGGTAGGCATTGAACCTATTACTAGAACTTTACGAAGAATCTTCCTGTTCAAAGCCTGGGTTGTCTTGGGAGGCTTGATTATAGGACATCAACAGCATCCGGAGTTCGTTGTAGTCGATCTTACCATCCTGGTTTTGGTCACAGTCCCGCAGTAAAGCCTCTCTGCACTGAATCAGGTCGGCTTCGTCGTAATCCTGTCAAATTATGATCTTATAATTACGTATCAATTAAAAAAAATACAAAAGATATAATAGGTGAATCAATGGACCATATAAAAATAAGTCAATCATTATTCATGCTAATTATTTGTCGAGTTATGTCCCTTACCTCCTCCACCAGATCCATTAAGTCCTTCAGAAATCCATTTAATTCTTCATTTTCTATAAAATGACTGTTATCCTGTGGTAAAATAAATACTCAACTTGATATCATTATGGAAGAATAAGATATTTAAGTCGACAAATAAATATACATCTTACATCATATATGCTGAATTCTCTTTTCTATTTTGGTAAGATTATCAGTGATTAGAAGACTAAAATTGTAGCTGTTGCTTACTCGGTCATAAAGACGAAACACTTTATCGATGTCATCTTTCGTCAATTTACTAGCACTCTACAAAGGAAATGAAAATTTCACATGAAACATAAATATTAGAATCTTTTATTCCTGATAAGTATGTATTTAAGCATAAATCCCCACAAATTCCCATAAATCACCAAAACATTTAATGAATTCGGACAAACTTATTTTAAATCATCAACAAGCAGGTTCAACCTTTTAAAAATCTTTCTTTACAACATTCATATAATATTGAATTATACTATTGAAAAAACTGCATGGTACACGTTCAAATGAAAATGTGTTTCTTGGTGGAAATAAATTGAAAAAAATATATTTGAAAAAAAAATATGGCAACATGAGATTTATTTTCATAATTTTTCTTTTAAATTTATCAGAAAGGCCGGGTTGTGCCGGAAGAAAATGGAAAGAACTTGTGCATAGGGTTAATGTATCACCTCGCTACAGGAAATCAGAATTCAATTATTCCTATAAGTCAACGAGCATCGGTAGCATTGAAATGGCATCAAACTCATTAAGGAATGATTCTTTCATTTCAGTCCAAAAATCGTAAAACGCAGATGGAAAAATTTCCAAACACCATAGAGCTGTAGTATTGAAGAACGCATTTACCAAAAAAAAAAATGCTTAAATATTATCATACTATCTGCAATTTTACTTTTGAAATATCGCTGCTTATTTGTGCTTAAGATAGAAACCTTTAAATGTGCATGTGGAGGCACTCTTTTGATCATCCGTTTTTGAGAAAATCAGTATTTTTTCTTGAATAACCTAAAACTGCCCACCCATAGAAAGGCAGGGGCTTCTAACATTTTAAATCCTTG